ACAGCTATTATTTTGATCCCTAGCTATCATGGTTACCATTCTGGAAAACATATTGATTAATATATATTTCAATGGAATATTGACATAAAAAAAATCATTTTATCAATTAAAGAACTCATATTTATCCATCACTTTCACCATATATTCTTTGCACTGGGGTTTTTCAATAGGTCTCAAAACATTTGTGCTCTTATTATGAGATGTTATGACTTTTTTTTGTTTCAGAGAGTAGAAGGCTGGGTATCTTCAATGTCATTTAAACAGAAAGATTGACATCTGATTTGTCTACAAATTCACAATACTTTTTCTATGTTAATAGTACCTTTGTAAACACATATAATAATCCTGTTAGTAAAAGAGATTGTAAGCATAAGACTTAGAGCCAGAAAAAACAATGAAAAAACCTAAGTTTGGGTCCTCATTCTGAAGCCTGCATCCTGAGACACTGTGATATTTTAGACAAGTTCACTCAAATATTTAAGCTTCAATTTTATCATCTGGAAACTAAAAATAATAGCAAATACCTTACAACATTTCTAGGAAATAGTCAAATAATACAATGTAGGTAAAGATACTTATAAATGGTAAATAAGTTACTAATGTACTACAATTAAACTTTCTTTTTTACTATCAAATATAAATCTAAAGAAAAATTATTTAAGATAGCAAAAAAAGTAAAATTGAGTCAATATAAATACTACAAAGGGAGAAATTTGTAAGTCTTATTGATGGAAAATTGATAGTTTGAAGGAAGAGACTTTCAAGTTATCAATACATTAGCTGGGAACTTGGAATCTTTGCTCTAGAGGTAGCGTCTGATGCTTGCAGAAACTCTGGCATGTGTGTAATGATGGATTGGGATGTCTGTAAATGCACAGGGAACCATAAAGACCTTATTCCCAATCCAGCCATTTCAAAAATAATGGAAAGTTATCTGTTTCTGTTCATTTTCCTCATATTGGATGATGAAATTAAATGAGCTGTGCCTTTTTTCCACCCTGAGAATATTCATTAGAAAGAATGCATTTTATTCTTCTTACAACTTGTGGCTTGAATAATCAACCCTTACTTTTCTGTCCTCTCAAACCTTAAATATTAATGTTTAACTCTGATGTTCAAAAGATAAGCTTCTTGTGGCTTCTCTGAATCCCTGTGGCTGCAAGCAGCACTGGAAGGATCTCACAGTTCTGACACATGGTGATCAGTAGGTGTTACAGGGACAGCAATGCATGATCAAAACCTGTCTCCTATTCTACCTGTGTACTGAAAGATTACATAGAAAAGAGTTCATTCTAACTAAGTGAACTAAACAGATGTCATCATGTGATTAGGTTCTGTCAATTCAATGCAGGAAGAAGTGCGCTGGCCCAAAAATATGTTCACAGAATCTTTCTCCCCTGTCTGCCTACTGGATGCAGACCTAGAGCAGAGAACCTCAGGACTCTAAGTGCCAGTAGGTGACAAAATGAAAGGAGTACAAGTTCTTGCATTGCTGCAATGAAGGCTGCCTGTAAACACCTGCATGAGACTATTGCATGGATGAGAAATAAATCTCGGTGGTTTTATACTACTAGGTTTTGGTTTTGTTTGCTATAGCATTTAGTTTATCTTAATAAATTCTGTCAAAGATAACATTTGCCATCAGGGTATTCTAGGTTTAACTAAAGTTTAGATAAAATATCTTAGCCTCATGCAGTGCATTAATGGAAAAGGATTAATTCCAGTTAGCCAGTAACTCCAGAAGCAAACTATATTTTTTAGGTACCTGCTACCTGAAAAGCTTCCAAGAATTATTGGTGAACTGGCCAATAAGAAAAGATGAAGGTGGTCCAGGTATATTCCCTATATTCAAAGAAGAAAGATGAATTAATAAACTAAAACAAGTAAAAATGCACAAGTGTATTATTAGTTTATACTCTGAATTTGATGAGTAATGGCCAGGAGTCAGTTTGTAGTGTCTAAGTCAGGGTGAAACTGCTGGTAGTGTCAAGAATTCTGTGAGTTAACTAAAAAGATGAACACCCATAATGAAGAGGGCTTAAGTTGTGAGAAGAATGGAGAGCAATGAGTTGCAGCTTCCTCAGTCCTAGAATACTTGACCCTAAAAAAAAATGGAGTAACTCCAGAGCGAGAACGTTTGTAGGCAAGAGCTGCTTTTTTAGTGATAGTTTATAAATAGTACTAGTATCTGAAGTAAAATAATTAGAAGTCTGCCTTTGCTTTCAGTTTCTAAAAAATTTTGGTTGCTAAAATTGCCAGAAAGTAGAATAGGATGAATACAGAGGAATGTGTGCCAGCATCAACAATGTCCAAAAGGTATGTTTGATGAATTCATATCCACGGTCTTAAAAGGGAAGAAGGAGATAAATCTGCAGTAATTATACTGAATTGTGTATACACATACTTGACCTTCATTTGAAGGACTTATGTAGAGTCCTAAGTTCATCTGAAAAAGTACTGCTTAAAATTGTCTCAGCCAAAATGTAAGATTCGAGGGTAAATGACAGAGAAGCAATTCAGGAGTGTCTAAGGGTTGTTCATCCAGGGGTTGGAAAGCATGGTTTTGGAATCCTTTTTCCTGGTGACCTTGATTTCCTTTGTGTAACATGTCTGCTGGAAAGTGACAGAGGACAGACGGCTGCTTTCAGAAAGAGTCTGAGACAGCTGGTGAGATCACTGAACCCGGGAGGCAGTAAGGGAGGAAGAGATGGTTCTTGACCCCCGCGGGGCTAAGGTCAGAGCCATAGCACCAGAGCTTTCATGGGGAAGTCTGCGTATTTCCAGAGTTCCATGCTTCACTCTCTTCTAAAGATGTTTTATGCAAAAATGAAAGCAAGCAAGAGTTGAAGGAAGTCTCTACATTGAAAAAAAAGCATTACTATTTAAAAACATTTTCTTTATTATCATGGCTATGTTGCTAGTTATGAAAAGTGTGTTCATCAAAGGTATAATGGTATCATTTATATCTCCTTGCTCTCCGTGTTCTTTATAAAGGCTCCTATGTTACTATATATTTTTTAATCTAAAATGTTCTCTGCACAGTAAGCAATGCTCTTGAACAGAATAAACTGTCCTATCAATTGAAGTAGAAGGCATACTATTCAAAGAAAACTTTTAGAAAATGAAATCTTTAAGATAAATTTCACGTATTATGATAAAATAAATGACTCTTCCAAAGAGATTTGGCTTTGCTGGTTGAATTGGTTCTTCAAGAGTAACAAAACAGATTTTGCATATATCATCTTTATCATCTTGTATATATACAGTCATACACCGCATACCAATGTTTTTGTCAAGGACAGACCACATGTATGACAGTGGTCTCATAAGATTATAATGGTTCACACATGGAAACCTGATAAATGGCACTTGATATTGGTGTTGCATATTAAATAAAGGATATTCAGTGATGGTGCTTGGACATTTGGTTTTCCATATAGTAGATATAAATAAAAGTATATATGCCATCTAAGTTTGTGTATAATGTTTGTACAATGAGCAAATCATTTAACAATGCAGTTCTCAGAACGTATCGCCATTGTTAAGTGACATATTACTGTATGTGTGTATACACACACGTATACTTAGGGATGATGACAGTGTGGCCTGCTGATAATGCAAAACAATGCAAAAATGAAAACATGTCAGGGTCATACAAGAGCATGCTCTGAAAAGTCTCCTTAATGAAAAGCATGCCCTAAATTCTTCTTTAATACTCAGAATTAATTTGTTTGCTACTTTTATAATGGCACCATGGGTTGAGGTTCTACTCTATATGATTGTCAGTGGAGATGTAGAGACCATATTCCATTCCTTGGTCAATTTCTATAGCCAATGTGCACAGTTCACTTCATTAGTATTCAGGAAGGTTTATATGAGAATCTGTGGCATCTGTTTTGAAAAAAATGGATTTTACACATTCATCAAAGTAGTAGGATATTGTTTATTTTCTTCAGCATGCATATTGATATATTACCAATTATTTTTGATTTATAATCTATAAAATTGGCTTCCCAAGATTTGTGATAATTTTAATAGATGAGAAGATGTATTACTGGTTTTTAATAGATTGTAGTTCTTGTTTTATTTCTAGAGGAGTTTGTTATGTCCCTTGAATAATATTGCAGGATATCTATTCCTCTAGAATCTCTATAATAGATATATATTTGGATATTATTCAATCTAATCCATACTTCCGTGCAATGTGAACATATATGCAGAAAAAACAGATACACAAGAGCTTAAACTTACAAAGCAGAGTAAAATATGGGGTGAACTAAATTTATAGCACACAACTCACATCTTCCCCCTCTTTATGACTGGGTAGAACTCACCAGTAAGATATTAACCAGCCCATATGATAGTTACTTCAAAAATCTCCTCAACTGTGTAGTAACACCCTTTTTGTAGGAAATGATAAGGATCATTAAATACCTGCAAATTCCTTCGCACAGAGGAATTAGAACGTAGACTGAACTGTAACACCTTCCTACAAAAGATGGGTCGGTTGCAGAGAGATTTATCATTCTGTCCTAGTGTTTTCCAAGTGTAGGCCCTCTTACTCTATTATGCATGGACATATGCAAAAAACAATCTATTTTTTAAATGATCTGACAGCAAGCCCATAAAACTATGCCCAGAAAAACAGGAAAATCCTACAGTTAAATTTTGTGAAAAATGCGACCAGTTGAATGCCTGTGTGCCATAACTAGCTTAATACAGACTGAAACAAAAAGGAAGACAGAACTGGCATTTCAGATCCTGACATTGCTACTGTCTCTCTAAAGACAAGCATCTGTAAGCTGAAATGAAACCCACAAACATCATAAAATTGCTTCTTTTTAAGAACTACTCTAACTTGCCAATAAAAAACTGACAAACTTTTTTAAGAACAAGTATAAATTTAACATAAAGCTTTTAAAAATTCAGAAAAGTTCTTAAGAGCTCACATCTTTGGATGATGTACTTGAATTTCTTATTCTCCCTTTTGTGCATTTCAGTGAACATCCTCTTTGTCTTGAATGCTTCCTAAAAGCACCGGCCCAAACCAAGTGGCAGTAACAGTAAAGGAAACCTGGAAGGAATGGGCACTTTCAGGGTGAGTGAATTTTTCCTAGATGTATAAAATCTTTTGTAGAATTTCCCTTGGAATAACTATCTCAAGAAAAAAAACAAAATACATGTTAATACAATATTGACAGAGGTAACATTAACTGGGAAATTCTATTAATAATTAAATCATCAAAAAATATTATTCCTAGTTCCTGTTACTGTTTTTATTTTTATCCTACCAGAATCATTAAGTTCCTTCCATGTGTGGCTTATGTTTCTTTATTTTTAATTTTTTGGAGTGCAAACAGAATTCATTATTTAGGCCAGCGTCCAATATATATTTAACAAATTACAGTATATTGAAATTTCCTTTCCTGGACTTTGAAGAATTATACTATAAAGGCCATTTCAATCAACATATTTATGTAATAAAAGTTCTGCTCAATGTATCAAAAACAACTTATTTCATAATGTTTATAATGCTAGTGTCTATTTTTCCTACTGAAATATATACAGATTTTGTTTTTTAGGAGTTGGACGTTTCTCCAAAGAGCAGGTCTCTTGGGGATAACAGGAACTTTCAAACTGTTAAACAATCTCAGCATTCCCTGGAAGTATCTCAGGGGCTGATTGAGATGATACCAAAAACCCTACTTCTGCTTTAACCAGAAAAATTGCACTTTTATTTATTTTACATCTAATATGACCTTGTTTTAAAACATCTGAAAATCTAGCCTAATTAATCTGGCCAAAGAATTTATGACTTTTATCCCCAAAACAAAGAATGAGCTTACAAAGTAGAAAAAGGATATGAACAGACATTTTTAAAATGAAGGTATATGAATGGCCAACAAGTATATTAAAAAGTGCTCAACATCACCAATCATCACATAAATACAGATTTAAAACTACAGTGTGATAACACCTTATCATAATCAGAAAAAATAACAGATGTTGGCAAAGCTGTTGAGAAAAGGGAAATCTTACATGTTTTTGGTGAGAATAGAAGGTAAATAAGTACAACCTCTATGGAAAACAGTGGAGATTTCCAAACGAACTAAAAGTAGAATTACCATTTGATCCAGCAATCCCAGTATTGAATATCTACCCAAAGAGAAAGAAATCAATATATCACAAAGACAAAAATTTGTTTCCCATCATATTGAGTCTCCCACTCAATAAGTATAATATTAATGTAGAAGTTTATAGGTTATATGTATATATGATTTTATATAATTAGTTTTTAAATCCTTTGTGTTAAAATAGCAATTATTCTCTTTTTACTAATGAAAAACAACGATTCCTAAAAGTTGATTTTATTGTTTCAGGTTGTATAGTTAGTACTTGGAGAAGCAGAGACTCAAATCCAAACCTCTTACTGTAAGTTGGTGCTTTCATGTCATTGTAGTCTTAGTACTATTCTGGATGTAGACAAGGATATTATGAATTCATCTCTGCAATCAAATTGTCATATGCTTTTTTCCATGAAGATGAAGCAAACCTTAGTATAAAATGGGGTTTTCACAGGTTTAGGTAGTGGTAAGTGAGACTATTCATGTAAGCTCTGTGGATCATGAGAAATTATTTTCTGACCTAATCACCTTGATGAACTCACTTAGTAATGGCAAAACAATATCTAATTCACGATACGGTAAACATAGTCTGGCAAGTGTAACTGTAAGTATGTTAAAGTTTTAATTAGGCTTTTTTTTCTTCTGTATTTTATGAGAACAAAACAGACAGGTTTGCTTATTGTGGGAGGTGTCCAGCACTGGAGATCAAAAAAAAAAAAAAAAAAAAGGCTTTGGTTAACATTGATGGCTCATTTCCCAACTGTCATAAACTCCTAACCAGATTTAAAACATTCCCCTCCTAAGCTCAGCCATCTCGGATAGTAAAATATATATATATTTGTTGTTGTTTTTGTTGTTATTGCTTTTGAAAAGCAATAACTGTAAGTGGTTTTAGTGCACTTGCTACATAAGGTTTCATCACTGACGTTGAATCTTGTCGTTAAAAGAGAGAGAACGAACACATGAATAGTCTTTTAAATTGCTATTATTTTTTCTCAGAAGAACTCAAGAAAATCGATTCATTCAATTTGTATTAACAAAAAATAAGTTTTTCTGAGTTTTATGTACTAATTTAAGTTGACAATGTTTGAAAAAGTGATAATAAATGTGGGGAAAGTGGTTTTCTTTCAGAGAACAGTCGTGGAAATATAAATGATAAATTAGGTAACAAGGAAACATTAATAAATAGATAAAAGTTGAAGCACACAATTTTGTGTCAAATTACACTGCATTGGATAAACACATTCAGGAATCATGGTTTGACTGAGAATGTACTTACCAAAGGCAAAATGTAAAAATGAACAAAAGAAACACATCCTCAAGAGCTGGAAGGATTGGAGTGACAGTTGGAGAGATGAAATGTACCAGGAAGTGAAGCAATTATATGTTTGAGCAAGTCATGTGTCAAATCTGCAAGGGACTGTATGTTATTCAGACTCTGAAAGATAAAGACAGAAATGTATTACCAAAAGAGTAATACCCAAAATAAAACTGAATGAGTTGCCTGATTATTAAACAAGTTAAAGGTGTGAAATTTGCACTGAAAGTCAGCTTTACAGAAAAGGATATTTGATGATGTCTACCAAAATGCATGAGCCCCATCTTATATGAAATTTAAGAAGTTATTGTTGTTGAACCTATGTAAATTTGAGCCTAATAAAATGGATGGATGTTTATTTCCCAAGGTACCCTAGCCTGCCAAAAATTCTGAAATGATAACTGCAATTTTCCACCCAAAGGGAGTTGTGACTCATTTATTTGAAAACATATTAAGTAAATAGGTTATGACTTCATATGCAATGTCACATGTTCAGGTTGGTTACTTGCAATACATTATAAGGAAGAATATTGCATAGAAACACATCACAGTAAAATCATTCTGAACATCAAGTTTTTTTATTGCACAAATTCCTTATATATTTGGTATTCCAGGAAAATAAAAGTTACGTAGTGCTCCATTAGCTGAGTTGAGCCACCCCATTGCTTTGGCAGTTAATAACTGTGAACTATGTTCAACACCTTGGGCAGATGAAGACAATGATGAATATTTCATTTGAATTAGGTTAGAGAAGAGATAATACCTTAAAATGAATGCAGCAATTTCAACCTGATAATAACTCTGAATTTAATCAGAAAAAAATCCTGTTTTAATTTGATACTTGACTACATAAATTAGTGAAACTAGTAATCAAGAGATTAGGAAAAACTTGATCACAATGAGGAAAAGTCCACTTTAAATGTCTATCTCAACCAGAAAACTAGCATCTTTGAGCTTAGTTGCCCACTCTTATGAAAATGTAGCTGGGCTATAAACTCTTTCTTCCCAATCTACTATCCAGCAGTTGCCTAAGCCAAAATCTTGGGTATCATCTTGGACTCCTTTCCTCCTTAATATTGGCTAATTTTAGTCTCATCTGTGAACACCATCTCCCTCCTGAATTATTGTAATCGCCCCTAACACCGATGTTTCTGCCTCCTGCCTTTCCCTTGACCAATGCCTGCATTGCCCTGCCATGACAGGGGATGACATTTATTACATTGTTGTTTTTGACTAGTACTTTTTCAATTACTTGTGCTAGGCCATATGGGTTTGAGTAACAAGAATGATGTTATAAACACTATTAAATCCTAATACCTAGTACTTATTATGCATTGGTTCAATATTTTTAAATTAATTAATGAATAAATGGTTGGATGGACATTTGGAAAAGTCCTATGCCTATGTGAGAACAAAGTGATAAATGATGATTATCACAAAGAAATATTACCTCTAGACATAGAGGTGCATGCACTTTTGGTGCATCATAAAGTAAAACCAATAAGGTCTATAGAAATGATGAATTTCAAAAGATAAATGCCAAGTGTTTTCAATTCTGAAGGTAGGATGTCACGGCCTGAAAGGAGAAATAAAATGATTAATGTAGGATCTGGAAAAGTGGATGGTGTACCCACACAAATAATCACATACTGTACTGTCTCCATTTCCAGCTTGACAAGTGGGATGTACTACCTCATCATGGAATCCTTGGCAAGTATTGTTTTTAAAATATTTTGGGCTTTAAAAAAAAATTGTCCATCTTAACTGGCAGGCCATAAATAAATGTTGACATGGCATTACTGTGTGTCTGTTCCACTCTACCAATTTTTGGATTTTTTGTTCTATACCCCGAGAAAGACAGTATAAGATAGCAAAGGAAAAGGTAGAAAAAGATTTGTTTAAAATTTCTTGGGAGCTTAGTTACTGACTGAGATGCTTGGCTGAAAAAGATTAATGATAACTGGAATGACTTAGGACTCTCCTTAATTGTTTTATCAATAAAATTACAGCAGAGATGAGCTAGTCCTAAAACCTTATGCTTCTTCGATGTGTTTCTTTAGACTTTATTAAGATTTGTCAAAGCCTAGAAGTGAAGATGGTCCCTTTATAGTCTTCTAATGTCTGATGAATTTTCAAATACTTCCAATCACATATTCTCTGGGGAGCAATTCAGTAACAACTTTGTTCAAGGGGCTTGTTGAGTTGACCTGTATATACATGAAAAGGATGAATGCCTGTGAAAGTGCTATGTAAGCATTACACCAGCTGATAGGAATCACAAATTACTAATCCCATTTGACAGCACCTCAGAATATTGTCATCCTTTCAACAATTGTACAAGTTATCAATCAAAAATAAAATTAATTTATTTTTATTGTTAGGTTATATGATGTTCTGATGGTTATAAAAACTAAAGATGTAAGATAAGGACAGGTAAAATTAGAGGATAAAAGAAAAAAGACCAAATAAAGATAAGTAGCTATAATTCCAAAAATGACCATATATCACTTGTTTCCTATAGTGGAACACTCAGAGAAACTCATTAATAATAATTTTGACAAAATAAATTGGTCAGAGACTATCTCTATGTCATTAAGCTAGCAGGGTTGGGGAAGCATCAAATATTCAGTTGTGAGGCTATAGAAGTACTTTGTAGCAAATTGTTTAAATTGATTTTTATGTTTTACGTAGTCATTCAACCTATTTATAAATGCCAATATGAAAAAGAAGCCAAGGTTGATTATTTAATTCATAATTCTCAAGAGCAATTTTGCTGTTAGAAGCTTAATATCAACTCATATCTAGCCTCAAGAGATTCTTCAGTCACTTTTTAAAAGAGCATTTAGAACACAAAGGTTCAATTTTCATCATTTTAGGACTTTCAAAGTCTGTATAGACAGCAATGTAAAGAAAAAAAAAACAAAGACCTTACTTATGCTACACAGATTTTCAAGGAACCGTGGAGAATCCCCAAGGTAGCTAGCTCCTTGGATTTCACCAGCTGTTATGTGAAATTTCTTTCTCTAAAAAAAGTGTGGAAAGCTAAATAATAAATTCCATAGCATATCTTCTGAGCTTAAAGACAGTAGCATTCCAGTCTATTTTGTATAAGTTGCACTAATGACTATTGGATAGAACATAAAACTACAGGGTGAATACAATGCTAGAGCGTTGGGACTTATTAAGTTATGGTTTACATGAAGTCAGTAGCACAGAAATTTTAAGTAACTTAACTCCAAAAGTACATGAGCAGAAATTATAATCTCCAAATACAGAATTGGGTAAGCCCCAACAACTAAATCCATCAAAGATGATGGAGAAAATGTCTCCATGATCCTTTGAATGATGCAACCTATTCCGTTTTTTAATCTATTAATCTACATAGATTTATTGGCCATCTGTTATGTGCACAGCACTATGCTTCCTCTTTTTGTTTGTTCGTTGGGTGTTTTACTTTCAGTACATATTCTGAGGAGAGAATATAATTTCATAGTTCTGTTTTCTCAGCTGCCAATTAGTCATAGGATCCCATTTGCCATATCCCTGTGAAAAAGGAACATCCTGTTTTAATTGAAAAATAATGTTACCAGTTGTTCACTACCTTGTTAACTACCCTCCTTTTAATGGAGATAGTCTAATTCTAAATAATCTCTTCCTCACATTGAACAAAAATATGCCCCTTTAATATGCTGTATTTGTGCTGACCCCTAGAGCCAGAGATAACTTCTAATTTGCTCAAATATGACAATTTTTTCCAATATTTTGGAATACTCTTGTCACTTCCCTGACAAATTTAGTATTCTGAATATTAAGCAGACATGACTTCCAGGTACTTTGCTTGAGTCAGCATTACTTTACCTCTTCGCCTCCCAAAACACTGTCAAACTCCAGATGTAGCTAGAAACTTGGAGCAATAATTAATATGTGGATTATCTGACGGCTGCTTGGGCTAGGACGGTACCAGAAAGGTGGCAAGAAGTGTTTGGCTCCAAGAATAATACAATAACAGAAGTGATGAAATGCTTTTCAAGGTGGGAGTGTGATGTATGAAAGAATAAAATAAAGAATGATGCTACTGTTTGCCTAGATGACTAAGATAATGAATGGAACAACCATTGCCGAGTCAAGAAAGATGATGAGAACTGCAGGGTTGAAAGCGAAGTAGGAGGAGTCAGAAACTCAGTTTCAGAACATTAACTTTGACAAGCCTATTCAACACACAACCGGAGATGTTGGGTAGGGCACTGAATGTATGTTTGGTGTTTAGTGACAAAAAAACTTTGATCGGGCTAGAGAAATAATTTTGAGTAAATCGCCCCAAATAGAAGATATTTTTCAAGCCATGAAACTGACAAATATACTAAATGAGTAAAAGGAGTTGAACATTTTAAAAATACAGCATGTTTAAGTACATAGATAAGTAGTAAATTCTTAAAGTACACACATAAACAGTTACCTATGTTTATTGAAAAACAGACATTGATTATACTGACTCTGCCTTTTAACAAATTCATTCATACTTACAGTCCAGGTAAGCTCAACTAACTCTGGCATACCCCAATTTTACTCACCCTGCTTCTGAATTCATTTGGAACTGAAAATAATGTAGCTGCTTCTTAAAAAACACAGCAGAATTTGATTATCCTGAGTACTCAAGGCAGTTTGGTATGGAAAATAATGGAACGCTTTTCATCTGGGAATGGAATCTAAAAGAAGTCAAAAATAGTTTTGGGCTCACAAATTATTATACATTCAGGCCTTGAGATTTTAACAGTTAATGTTGCCAAATTAAAGTGATCTGTTTTCTGTTACTTTACAAATAAGTACATTTAGCTGTTGTTGTAAAGAAATAAGAGAGGGAATTGGGAATCAAAGGTCAAGATAATAAATCTGCTCACACAAACCCTGTCTATCCAGGAACTATTGATTTCGTTGTCTGTATCTGTTCCAAACATTTCCTGTAACAACTTTAAAGCTCATCAATCAAACTTATTCTATACATAAAACATGTACAAGGCAAAGTGGATAGGAAATCCTTACTCTCTTCAGAATTTACAGTCCAGCCTACTTAGTGGTATTTTGTAATCAATAACATATTTCACATAGGATGGTTAGTACTAGATCCAGAAAATGACTATTCTGAGTCTGGTCATACAATTTTGATTGTTGTGTCTTCAGTGCTGAGCTAGCTCTACCCATGAAATAATAGTGTGAACCATTTTCATGGATTCTATTAAAAATTAAATTATTAATGACTTTAGGCCAAATTAGACAAAAAAAGTTTTAAGTAGAAAATTTTAATTAATTCAGTTATATCACATTGAAAATCTTAAAGTAATATCATAAAGCTAAAACTAAGCACTAAAAACATTTGAAAAATGTATAGCAGATTAAAACCAATATTGAAACATATTTATAGTACTACACTATAAATGTACGAAAATAGTCCTTAGTAAAGGATGTAAACTGGAAATTCACAAAAGATAATGCATGAATGGTCAATTAACAAATGGTAAGATGTTCAATTTCACTAATAATCAGGGAAATGCAAATTAACAATGAGATATAATATCTTACCCATTGAAACTGGGAAGTGTATTAGTTTAACAATCCCAAGTATAAACAAAAGTACTGGTAAATAGGCATTCTCAAACTTTGCTGATGGAGTAGAAATTGGTATAATCTCTTTTCACAGCAATTTAGCAATAATAAGTTAAGTTGGAAATTTCCATACAACTCAGCGTTTCTCTTCTGAGTATGTTAGCCTTTGAGAAACTTTTGAACATATGTTCAAGGAGACATATTCTCAAATATTTATTGTGATATTGTTGGGATTTTACAAACTAAAAGCAATCTACATGTTATCAACAGATGAATATGTACATAAATTATGGTATACTTATATGATGGAATAGATCTCAAGTATAATGCTACCTGAAAATAAGTTAGTTCTCTGTTGGCTGGTAAAAATAATATGATTTTGATGTGATAAAAACGTATCACATTAAATTTTAAAACTCACAAAATAATATTATCACCTCTCATGGACAAACGCCTATGTTAAAACATATAAAAAATGTAAATATGAATAATAAATAAACTTCATGATAGTGATTGCCACTAGAAAGAAAGAAGAGAAATGGGTCTGGCAAAATATAGATCAGAGTACTGCTGAGTTTTCTTAGTTAAAATATGGTCAGAAGCAAATTCCATGAAATGCTAGCATTTATTAATTTCAGATGATAGTATCGGCAAGTTTATCATATTAATATACTTTCAGAGTAAGTTGAATTTTTCACAATTAAGTGTTTTACAAAGGAAATTATACTTAGGCACTTCCATTAAATGTGAATTTAGGAATTATTATTATATTACACATACATTTATAACTATGTGTGTTTATAAAAGTATTTAGTGCTGGTATTATTTGCCTACTTTAAAAAGGTTACAGTAGAACTACCCCTTCACTGGTCATGTTTTAAACCCAACATCAAACATTTTAGCTGATATGCATTTTGCCTAAATTGTACATGTTTTTGGTACCTTTGACCCACCTCTGGCCTGCATGTCTAGCTCCACACACAGTATAATCCTTACTCCTCTCTGACATTCACAGACTTTCTACCCTTCTCTGGGATTCTGGCCTAACCAGAATTTTGTCATCACTCCATTTATGCTTGTTTACTTTTTGTACTTTGACAGGTCTAAGAGAGAAGGCAGATGCTCCCTGGCTGTCTCTTATAACTGGAAATCCATGCCCAGATACTTCTCCATATCCTGTGTACGAAACACAGGTCCCATCTCTTCCCAACTCTTAAAATCCATTCTGGAC